ATTTTTTGGGAAAGAAAGTTTTTGGCTTTCTACTACTCCATCTGATACAAAAAGAAAGATGAGGAAATCTTCCAAGGAAAGGAAGGAAGTAATCGATTTTGAAATAAGAAACTCTATACATGGATGTGTAGATCATGCAAAGAAGTAACTTTCAGACACAAACTGAAAGAAAGTCCTCCTGAAACAGCTACCTTCATATAAACAACATTTTTTTTATCAAGATGGAGTAGTAGAAAGCCAAAAACTTTCTTTCCCAAAAATACACTCAAATTTTTCACAAGTGTCAAACTGTAATATCATTTCCATGGCAACTAAGATTCAAATTGAAATATTAGGTCTTAGTTTTAGTTAATTTGTGTGAAAACTTGAATGTAATTCCGTTATTTTCATTTAAAATATTTACGCTATTTGTTTTTTTCTTCATCTGGCGGAATTATTGTTGAAATCATGAAGAAAATATTCTCATGGCTATATCTGTTGATATAGGGTGTTTTTTGTAACTGTTAGCTGTGTGAGTTTTCGAATTTTTGAGATGTCATAATTTTGTTAATAATGAATATTTTTTCAAGAAATTTTGGTCACACCTGTTCAGAGGCACTCTGGTTCTGACAAACCAGTCACATATGCGTCTAAAACACTCAATGAGTCCGAACAAAATTATTCTACTATCGAAAAGGAGCTCATAGCAATCGTGTGGGCTACTAAATATTTCAGACCATACTTGTATGGCAGAAAATTTGAAATTTTTTCTGATCATAAGCCCCCACAATGGCTGATGTCATTTAAAGAACCAAACTCACGCTTAGTGAGATGGCACCTCAAACTAGTGGAGTTCGATTATGAAATCATCTATGAGAAGGGAAAGTCAAATACCATCGCGGACGCACTATCTAGAGTGGAAATACATACAAACGATTTACAAAATTCTGCAGATGATTTTAACGGAAACAATCGTGAAGTTTTGGACATTTTGGATATCTCCAATATCACTCCTATTAGACCAAATCGTACAACAGATAAGGAATAAATTATCCCTCAGATTAATGAAAATCCCAATTTGAATGATGTCGATAGTGACGAAGATCCCCTATCCTATTGTACCTCCCCGAGCTGATGTTGGAGACCTCATAAACGGAATTACTAACACAGGCGTCAGTGATGAATTACCCAATGTGAAAATATCTAAAAATAACTGTGAAACCGTCCACTTCAACGCCAAAAATCCTGTAATCACCATTTCAATTTCGAAACAACCCTTGAATAATTTTGAACACCAACTCCATATTGATCTCGTGTTCTATTCACCAGCAGAACTGAGAGCTAAAGACATTTTTAAAAATAAAAAAAGAATATTTGCTCAGTTATTCATTGGACAATTTCGAACAAGACGTTATCAAACTGCTCAAAGATTTTCCTGATTCAAAATATATGTACGCAATATATTTGCCAGACGAAAATATGATACCCCTATTTTGTGAAATAATAAAAATACATTCAAAACACCCTAGTATAAATTCGTTGGATGTACATAAGTGCTAAAAGACGTAACTCATGGTGTTCCTGAATCACTCAGCTCAGATAACGGAACCGAACTGAAAAATTAACTTATCCATAAATTTGCAAACATACACAACATTAAATTACATTATGTCACCCTCGATCATCCTGAATCTAAGGGAATCGTTGAACGATTTCATTCCACGATTATTGAACGTTTGAGAATTCTTCAAACTAACCACAAAGATCTAGGACATAATTAAACAAATGCCTTATGCAAACATGGGATATAACCATTCAATACATTCCGCAAGAGGAATGAAACCTATTGATGTCGTAACTGGACATCTATCCACATCAGACCCTTTCAATATCGATATCGAAAATCGCGTACAAAGTGCCTACATAGCAGCTTATAAAAACAATACTTCAGAGATCTATATGCACCTCAATGAAAAACTCAACAAATCGAAACAAAAAGTAACACTTTTGAAAGACCACAAGGCAAAATTTAAATTATCTGAAAGTACCTCACACAAATCAAGTTTCAAAACACCGTTGTTTCAGGTTCGTCTTATCGTTAACGATGAGCCAGGAAGTTCAAATACAGTCACTGAATAAAAATCCAGGTATCCTACCCTTCAAATTAGGAACCACACGAGTCAAAAGTAGTTTCCACACCTTCATTCATTACTTTGACCTGACTCCTATCGCTGATGAACTTATCCTTATATAAAATCAATATTCAAAGTCACTCGAAGCAGTCAATCACACCCATATTTTCAAGAGTTGAAAGCGATCAATCAGTCGATATTCTTTCAGCTCCAGTTATCATTTGCTAAATTTGTCTGTCTGTCTGTCATTGAAACTTTCAATGAAACAACTGCTACGGTGAAACATAATCAATAAATAATTGCAAATAGAATTGATAAAATAGCTTCAGAACTCTCAACCTTTGTTTTTGATTTCAATCATTTTTTCGAAACAAAAGAAGCATTCGATCAACTAGGTGCCATTTTGCACTTATTATTTCAAATATTAACATATCTAGAAAATGCAATAACTTTTGAAAAATACATACTACGCATCCTAGCGTTTTGAAAATCAAAGATCTCGAAACAATGATAACATTTTCATCACAACATTATCCTTTTGAAAATTTGTTGTTTGGATTAGACCTAGTAAATACATCTCGATATTATGATATCATCGATATAGGTACATATCAAAGAAATGATAAAATCGTCTTTGTCATCAAACTTCCTTTGGTAGTTACACATATAATCATCCTTTACAATCTATACTCGATTCCTACCTTAAATGGAACCACCATTATACCACCTTCACCCTATCTGACAAAGGATGAGGTATATTTCCAATATTCCACAACGCCCTGCCTTGACCTGGACGAAGTCTATTACTGTCCTTGGAACAGCCTCCTGCCGGAATCCATCACGAGCGATTGTATCTTCTGAATCCTGAGCATCGCCAGTAACCTACTTAACTGCGAACTGATACCAATCCAACAGAAATCAAACATTATTGAACAAGTAGATGAAGCCCACTGTATTGGCATCTTCAAGAATACCAATCGCATTCAGACTATTTGTTGAACAACAGACATATCCACTCTCAAGGGAGCACATTTGATCACCCTACCTCTTGGATGTCAGTTCAAAATCCCCACGGAGGAATATGTCAACCAATCAACAGAAATAGGAGAAAAACCCCTACTTCTATTTGACATAATGCTTCCTCAAAGCCCCACCAACCCAGGTGGTACCAGTCCTAAAACTCCAAGACATTCCTCTAGACAAGCTTAACGAAATTCAGAGAGAGGCCGACCGCTCATCACCTTTGACAACACATATTCATCCATCATCATGTTATATTTGGACAGTTCCAACATATGCTATATTCATAGTATGGGAAATACAGATCCACCCTTACCAAGGCAGCGGAAAACATTTTTCTCTACATGAAACCCTGTGTTTCATCTTGGGAGGCAGGAATTACTCTAGCAACTCTAACTCTAGCAACTTTCTATACTTTATAAAGCTCAGATCAGGCCATCTTCAGAGTAATGTTCGCATGTATGGAGCTCCGCCCGTAAGCATACCCTGGAGCCTCTGGATTCCATCCAGAAAAGAGCCATCCCCCTGATTGGAGACCGTACAACACCTGCAACCTTGATAGTCTGCCAATTCGAAGATATGTTGGGTATTTGTGTATTTTGTATAGATACTGTCACGGTAAGTGTTCAAGTGACTTGGCACATTCGATTCCACATATCAGAAATACGTTACGGACTGTGGCTGCTCATCGTTTTGAGATTCAGCTTAGTACATCCCAAGGACTTCTGGCAGAATCTTCCAGGATTTGCTCACTCCAAGGCGTTTATTCGCCCTTCAAAGATTGATAGCAAACAGTTGTTTGACTACAGTAGGGATCAACGACGATGTCTAACAGGCCTTCTCACAGGTCAGTGTTATTTGAATCATCTCATGCGGAGACTCGGACTGTCGGAAGACAGTGTGTGTCGCCTCTTTCTGGAAAATGATGGAACAACAGAGCATATACTTTGTGCCTGCCCCGCTGGGGACCGAATCAGGTTATTAGAGTTCGGCAGATCCGTACTCTCACCATCTGACCTGAAAGATCACTCACCATACAAAATAATCGACTTCGTTAAGAAGCTGGGTTTATTTTGGCCGAGTGTGAGTAGGTGTGAGCCACAATAAACCCCTGTGGGTTGCGGTGGAGGGTCAAATAGACCCACTCACTTTCGACCTACCTACCTAGTACATCTCAAACTTCACTGTTTGAAAAGTCTTTCATTGGAAGAACTGCGTTTATGAGGAATAAAATCAATGAAGAAAAGAGAATTGGAATTTTCTATGTGTTTTACTACTTTCATTTGTAACTAACGTTAATGCAGTTTTATCCTTAAAGGACATTTTCAGACTTATACAACAAATTTTAATGTATAAGTTTGCCAAGGTCCTTATTAAACGAAACTGAAGTAATGTTAGTTACAAATAAAAGAGGTAAAAAATATTGAAAGTTTCAATTTCCTTTTCTTCATTATGATTTCCTAACACGTAGTAACGGCTACATCCATCAATTCCTAGGAATGAAGTTCCTGAGAAAATTTTTCCAAATGAATTCAATCTGCGGCGATTCAAATTCAACGTGGATCGCTATTTTCGCATGGGCACCGATCTCAGTGAACATTAAAGCTCTTCTTGTGGTGCTTGAGCTTTGTCTTCGAAAAAAAAGGTCGAATAGTGGGGTATTAGATTTGTCTCAGTGTGTTCTTCACTAGCTTGAATGAATTTATGTTCTATTAAACAAAAAAAAATTCACCATTGTGTATCTGTTGAAAACAATACCGTCAGATGAAAAATGTATTTTGAAATATATTGAACCGCGAACGATTTGTGAAAATAAATACTCACTTTCAAGAGATCTGTGAACTTCGCTAGAATTTTCACATAAAACCTAATATGATTCAAATATGCAACTGGGCCTATTGAAATAATTGCCTTCAAATTCTTCTGTGCTAGATCCGGTAGTTTGGTACCATACACATAACTGGCTGTAGATCCCTGAGAGAACCCTAAATAAATAGACTTCTTTTTCGTTTTTGCCACTACCAAATCTAGAGTCGAAGCGATATCATAAACACCCATCTCATGGAAGCTGAAATGTTTTAAAATAACATTATCTCAAGTTTGGTACTCAAAAAAAATATATGTTTTCTTTTTGAAAAATATTTTCGAATATTGGGAGTTTACTATACAATGAAAACATAAATGGTCCCCTCCCTACCGACTTTTGAACGAAACAAGGTATCGAGGTCGGACAAGATTTCTGTAGAAAGCCTTCATTTCGTAAGTACTTTTTGATAGGAAAGACAATAATGTTGCATCACTTGTTGCCAAGATGATACTATCAACTTTTTTTCAATATGAAGATGGTTCCCACTCAATGCTCTACATCATTTTATCATTTCTGGAAATAGATTAAGCATTTTCTAAGTGATTAGAAGTTCCATATTCTCTTCGAGGATCTGCAGGAAAATAACTAATATTATAATGAATTTATTGTGAAATGTTCTCGAAGTAATTTCAAGAGCACGTTTTATTCTGACCGTGAGCTGTACTTTAGATTTCAGGAGTCCCCACAACAAAATCTGTGCTAACCAGTCTCATGCTGAAACGAAACGTCGGCATCGGTACACATTATGATTCGTCAATTTTCCAGTTTCTTGATGCTTAACCGCACTTTATTTCAGATAGAAACAGAAATGCAACCTCAATAACATTTCACAATATATATTTCATTTATAGTTGTCAAGTGGTAAATAATTTGGAAAGAAAGGATTCGATTTTTCACTTCTTCATCTTTATACAAAAGAATTCATTATATAGTATATGAAAAAGGAAAACTTTCATTTACTACATGTCTACATGTTACATGGAACACTGTCATCCTTAATGACGGACATCGATGTTTTGGAATAGGACACTTGCCTTTTTGCCTCTTCAGCACTAATCTGGATAACATAATAGATGAAACACTCAATCCTTTCTAGAATCACGATCTTATGTCACGAATGTATTGAATCTACTCATATTATCGATGATAATACGTAATGACATTCATTCGCTAATTCGATTAATTCTCATCTATAGGTATCTTCTTTGAATTCAAAGGAATATATTTTAAGGAGAGACCATTTTGTGGAAAAGAATGGTTTAGGATTTCTACTCCTATTCCCCGAAGGAAGGAAGAAACCAATCAAATTTGAAAATAATTCTAAGGAAAGTACACACATTGTAAAGAAAAACCTCTTTTTAAACAATTACTTTCATATGAACAATTTAATTACACGAAAAGAAAAATATTTTTGCGTTATAAAAAAAAGCTTTTACACTATTCAGTTTCGTACTCCAAGCATTCATTATAGAATTGAATCAGATATCATTCACAGGAATGCTACACAATATAGTATAAGGAAGAGGAAAAATTTCACTCACATGGAACACTGTCATCCTCAGTGGCTAACACTAATAATTTTGCCTCTTCTAATGTTATTCTGAATTATCACTGGAATGAGCTGAGGTGTTTTTTTTTAATTATGATACTTGTTATTCATTTGCAGATTTTCAACTTACCTGATAATTACTCGAGAATGGTTTATCCGTTTTCCAAAAACGAAAAAGTTTTCAAAAGCTAATTGTAACACCTTTGGAAGTATTATTATTAGGCCCCCGTTTTATTTGGCAGAAAGTTGACAGTGCTATCTATATAAGTCAGTACTAGCTCCTTCGAAACCTTCGCTGGTTGTCCTGAGCAAATGAAATCAATTTCAGCTTTTCACATATAGGAAGCTACTTGCGACGAATCTTCCAAATGGAATACGTTGCACAGGTGCCTGATGGTTCAACTTCAACTTTCTGCACGGTATTTGCTAGGTCAGTTGTTGTTTTCCGTCGGGTATCTGCCACTGCTACCTACAGTAGGTTCACGTGAGAGGAAAGAGGAAGTGTAATCTTCTGCATTTTTTTTTCAACTCCCACCTTGCAGTATGTGTTTGTGAAGTTGTTTCAGGACTTTGTCTACAGATGAAGCAGTGGTACATTCTATTGAAGGAACTGCAGATATAGACCTTATGACTAGTTGAAAATAATTCTGTTTGTTCGAGATTATCAGACGGTTCACCCCCTCTGAAATAACCCTTCCAGTAATGTCGAGGAGCTAGTACTCCGAAACAGGTCTATCGGTGGTTGTCCAGACCAATTTAGAGGAATTCAAAAATTGTAATAGAGAACTACTTACAGGTGTAGAAAGAGCAGAAAATTAATGCGTTATTGCAAAGTATTTTCCCCGGAAAATGTTTTGCCTATCAAAAAAGGGACTGAGAAGTTATTCAGCTAACGTTCTTAGTTCGTGTGAGGGGGAAAAACTCAAGGAAGAAATCGTTAAAAAACTCCGACTTCCTGTACAGAAAATTATTTTCGTTCAATATTTGAAATTTTGTATAATACTTTCATTCAAATATTCAAAAAATCAAGTCGAATAGTGTTGCCTGAGTGAATGAAATACCTGAAACTCCAATATTTCCTTTCATTGTTTCTAAAAAATTTGTGGTCTGTGCTGTAAATTGTTCCTCTGAAATTTATCATCCATACATCGTAACCTCTTTCACCTAAATGGAACGCTGCAAAATAAAATTATATTGGTTATTTTGTTCAACATTGCATCAATTTTTACATACTTCTACGTTGCACACAAAAATGAACAGTCTTCTGAACAGGTCATTTAATCCGAATGTTGAAAATTCACATGAAGCTTAAAAATATGTTATGGAATTTCTGATGGAAAATGAAACAGGCAGTGGGAATGGAAAGCCTCACCTTAAAAATGTGAAATTTTTATTGAGTTCCAAAATGAAAATCAGTTTCAGGAAGCTATGGAAAAATAACAAATGCGTTCATACAAATCTATTCATTTATAAAATTTAGAAAACAAAGATAAGTCTATACATTCTTCCTTTTCGAGGACATTCGACTTTTGAAAATTTTTCTACCCATTCAATATATTTCAGTGAGCTGAAAACCAATGGAATGAATGAAGAAATGGGAGCTCAAAATTAATTAACGGAAAAATGTGACCAGAACGAAAATTACCGAAAATCAACTCACTACTGTGACTGGAATATTTCAAACTCCGTTCACTACCTCAACATTTTACGCTCATATACCAGTGGTAACGCACTCTTATCGAGTGCAGTATTCTAAACGGACGTTTGATTACTTCTGGTCGCACCTGAGAATTCTGCGTAATGAAGTGGGAGTTAAGACATCAGAAGTTCTCGCTTGGTGATATCGAAGGGTCTCTAGTGAAGTCTAACATAATTGACACAACTTAATGTTATTTTTCAGTAACTCTGATGATATCATCTCCAGGATGAATTAAGGCAATAGTAAAATGGCCTGAAGAAGTCTTCCATAATTGAGACAAGTGAACCTTCTTTCTCAGTAACTCTGAAGATGGCATACTGAATGAAGTGAGGCAATATTAAAATTAGGCCCCTTTCAAAATTCTGAAAGAATTGTTATGTTTGCTGGAGTTCCATATGTTTACGTATCATATGAAGATTTTGATGCTCACCCAATGACTTATTTTTTCTATAAACCCAAGACAGAGCATTGACCAGGATACCATGTCCCATAACGATAGGGGTTCTACGAGTGATGTTCTTATAAGCTCGAATTACAGAGATCTGGTATCCGTCTTTGGTGTAGATATTATACTCCTCAGCTGTGTATCCCCAGTTGGAAATGATTTCAGTCTGTGAGATGAAAAAAAAGTTAATTTGAGTTGATAATGTGTACCAAATTGAATTTTTGGAAAAAATAAAACTGATATGAATCCAAAACTATTATTCTTTGATAGCGTGTCGCTGATACATAGGCTGTAAGTGATAGGAATACCAAAACATCACAAGATTATTCTATACTAACATACTCAAAATTTCAACTCTTAAGCTGAATATTACTGGAGTCTTATCCCAATACCAAACCTTCATTTCAACACCTCGACACGTGTTTCGTTCATCGAGTGATCATCTTCGAAAGGAAGATTGAACTGAATATACATACAATGTTATCCTCATCAATACCATAGATACATCTGCTAGATACGTGCGTCTTGATTTTCTTGAATTAATTTTGCAATGTGACCTCATCTAATAGTCAGGTAAATCTGATAATTGAAATACTATTTCAACAAGCTGTATCGTATACTAACCATTAGATATTGGTCCATTAACGTAATTCATGCAATTATTATATTTACTCATTTTCACAGTCTCGTTGGCATTTAGATGCCTGTTGTCAACTTGTTCAACTAATCCTAATGAACTGAAGTCTGTGTAATGGTTTTATCGCAAAATATGATGGGCGACTGCTGATTTTTCTGGTCTTCCATATTTTAGGCGTGCTAAGTGTTCCTTATATGTAATTCCAAAAGATCTTTCAGTCTGTCCATAATATTTCACATTGCAGTTCATCCATTCAATTTCGTGAATTCCAGACATTTCCGAATTTCCAACTTTGTTCTTTGTATTTCCTAAAGGGCTCTGTAGTGTATGGCTTATTCAAAATACCAACTTCATACCTAGTTACTTGAAAATCTCTCTAGAGTTCTTCGTGTATTGGTAGTATGGAACTGAGATATATTTATCTTGGTTTTCGTGTTTTCTAAAAGTAAACGCAGTTTCTTAAAGTAGACTAAATGTCTGCATCCATAGACCTCACTCCATCAAGATTAGTTAGACAAACTAACAATAGGCAGATAGATGCCTACGAGAGTGTAGAAATAAGTAAACATAATAATAATATGAATTATAATTGTAGGCCAATACCTAATAGTATACAATTCAGCTTGTTGAGATAATATTCACCTGACTATCACATGAGGCTACATTGTGAAATTGATTTGAGACAATCAAGACGCAGGTACCTATCAGAGATATCTATGGTATGAATATGGATAACATTGTATGAACATTCAGTTCAATCTTCCTCTTCAATATGATCACTTGGTGATCGAAACACGTGTTGAGGTGTTACAGTAATGATTTAGTGCTGGGATAAAACTCCATTAATATTCATTACTACACCAAAGGTCCTAAACAGTGCATCACAAGAAGTCTCGAGATGTCGTCCATGAAACTGGTTTCAGATTTCATACAAGCACGTCGAAACTAATATAATTATGTAAATATTTGCATTTTTGCATTATTTGCATTATAATTACAATTCTGACGTCACAAATGAGTTTTTTTGCATTATTGTGTCTGCTCAAACTACCAATTCGGTTACATATTGTTTATCGTTTTTTGTTTGACAATATCACTTCCAGATTTTTATTATTGTCTAATTTAGTGAATGGAGTTCAATCGATCATAAGAAGACCTAGCCTATAGTAACCCTTGACGGTATGAATTTTCTGGTAATGATTTCCATAAAAAAGTGACTGAATAAAAATGGCCAAGATGTCTGTCCAACAAGAACATATTTCTCAGTTTTCCTTATGATTCGTTGGTTCTTATGAGACGAGCTCTTGGTGAATAAGTGGAAAAAATATCTGAAGGGTGCTGTTCATTAGTGCCATGATACTTCAAAGTTGTTAGTCTACGTCAATAAGAGGTTACCAAACGAATAAATGTTTCTTTATTGTGTGAGTCGTTTCGTCAAATAATGTGGTTATTATTGTCCGCTATCAGTAATTGTGTGTATGAGTGACTTATGTATCTCAGCATGAAAAAAACATTTGAGACTCCTTTTTCATGTGAAAAAATGTATTAAGATCTGTGTTTCTATCATCCAGTTGTTGTTCTCCTATGAATAACAACCTACAAAACTTGGAACGTGTGCGAGCAAAGGAAAAAAAGTTTTCGCTTTCAATGTGCATAGATTATATAAAATCACTATTTTATGAAGCCTGGAAAAACAGTTCATCCATCAAATTGACAAAATACCCAGTCTGTTCCGTTGGAATTACAATCAATATTCAATTCTTACACTTGCACTATTCATTCACAATTAGTTGTTTATATTTCTGGATATCAGTACTGAACATCATTGAATACCGTGTTGCTTACTGATAAAAGTTGAACTTTTGATTGATTGGCCATTTCCCCGTTTTCATTTGTCTAGTAATAACGGTATAATTGATAGATAAGATAGTGTGGAAATTACCATTCTATTTTTTTCTCCAGTGACACAGAAAAAGACCTTCAACAAAGTAATTTTCCATTCCGTTCCATATAGATGAAATGAAAAATAGTCATGATATTCGAGTAATTTTATCCAATGAATTTGGAACACAAAATCGTTGCTGGAGTACTTCAAAACTTCAAATTAATTATTTTTCTGAGAGGCATGAATGCATCAAATCATTAAGGGTCAATCTTGGGAACCCTACTATTTCTAATATATGTTAATGATCTTCCACACCATATGAACCTCCTCAACACGATTCAGTATGCCGATGATACTACTATTCATGAGAGTCACCTTGAACATGTATATCCAAAGCAACTAACTGACACAGCATTGAAAGAAATCGAAACATTTTTTGCAGCCAATAAGTTATGCTTGAATGTCAAGAAAACCGAAACAATTACCTTCACACTAAAAGAACTGAAGGACAGTCAAAAATCCATTGAGTTTTTGGAGGTAACGCTGAATCAAAAACTTAATTGGAAAGAACACATCAAATATTTGAATTGAAGGGGTTATATTTTCAGGAGTGACTAATTTTCGGCAAAAAAAGTTTTTGGCTTTCTACTACTCCATCTTGATACAAAAAAAGGGATGAGGGAATCTTCCAAATAAAGGAAGGAAGTAATCAATTTGAAAATAAGTAACTCTATACATGAATGTGTAGATCATGCAAAAAAATTATGTTCAACAAATATAGGGCATTGCAACAAAAACTTGACCCATCCTTGGGTCAGAAACGGACGTGTAATCAAAAATTTCAAAGAACACGTCAATTTTATTTTTAGGGGAATAATTCTGATATGGAAATCATACCCTGAACTTCATCCCCCTGCGGTCAGCAACCACCCCCCCAATTTTTTTCAATGGCATGGAGGGTCAAGTGATACATCATTTGAAAGGTCTTTTGTCCCACTATCACTTCTGTAATTTTTCACGGAATTGGTTCATTCGTAACTGAAAAATTGAATTTTAAACAGAAAAGCCGCTGTCGCTCATTTTATTGGGGGAATCAACCAAAGTAATATCAATGGCAACACAATCAACGGATGAAGTGTTCAAAAAGACCTGCATCTAGTTCCATATAATGATACAGTCTACAATCGAAAACGTTCCTTACATTATTGGGGGTGTCAGAAATCAGCATTCCCGAACAATTCTCTGTCGCAGGTCTTCTGTTCAACGTATTGATGGCTCACGTTGTGGTCTGGATGAGTCGTATTATGAATTCTTGCAGCAGCTTTAGCACATTCATTATTTCAACAATTCCTATTTTTTTTTCAGTAGAATAAACCTTGTTGCAACACAGTGAAAACGGATGACTGGATAATAATTCGTGAAGAAGTAACAGTAGCTGACTATTAGTGCAGAAAAAACTAAGAGTGTCGTCCATTCCAAAACGTTTACTACTAATTGAATGAATTCTATAAATCTAGAAGACCTGCGACAGACAATTGTTTGGAAATGCCTATTTCTGACTCCGGACATTGTGTTGTCATTGATATCATTTCTGTTGATTTCCTCAATGAAGTGAGCGACAGCGAATATTTTGGTTTTTGTTAAATAAAACATTCAACATTTAATTTATTCATAACGAATGAACCAATTTCGAAAAAAAATACAGAAGTATTGGAGGGACAAAAGGCCTTTCAAATGATGTATCACTCAACCCCCATGCCATTGAACAAAATAGAAGGAGTAGTTGCTGACCGCAGGTGGGTGGAGTGAAGTAGAAAATAAATAGTAGAAAAAAAAATAGTAGAAAGAAATAGAACGGATAGGTTGATAAGTGATTTTTTTCTTAGAGAGATAAATTTCGGAGATACTCCTACATCTTTACAAAAAGAGTACAGGAAAATTACAAAGTGAGGAATAAAGTAAATGACTTTGAATTAAACCCTCCACAAATAGATCAATAGCTTCCTACAAGATTTGCCACGACATTGTCCAAAATCTAAATCATCAACTGCCAATTTTTTTAAATCTGTTTACAAATGTACTCTCCTTCCTTCCCAGCAACTTCTATATCAAATAAATGAAACTTTCTTCCATTTCACACACATCGCCACTTATTTGCACTCACCTAATTATCTGACTCATTTTTTTGAATAGGACACATCTAGGCTGCAATTGAACATCATCGTGTAGTATTTGGCTTTAAAAAAACACAATTTGTAGATAAATACAATAAAGCATCCATAAATAACTATATCCATAAGTCTATACTCGTTATGTCAGTGTGAACATCGTATGCGTGAGCTCTTGCTATTTTGAATGATTCAAGTGGTGATTTCATCAAGTGAAGGATCTATTAACAGTGAGTTTTCAGGAAATATTCAAGGTTTTGAATATATCCTGAATTATATAAATTTACCACTTTATTACGCTGTTGTTAGTTTGTTTGAATAAGTTGTAGACATTGTAAGTGAACCAACTAGAAGTTACTCTGCTAGCATGTCTGATGAATATATAGAATCTATAGTCAATAAGCTGTTTCCTAAAATAACTGCTAAACTGGTGGAGAAAATAGATAATATTGGTATAAAAATCGATACCATTGAAA